AAACCCGCGTCAGACCTTGGAGCTGCACGACAGTCGCCCCGACAGCCCCGGGAAAACTCGCAGCAAGGATGGAGCTGGGCCAAGGGGAAACCCACAGAGTCCTGACGGCATGGCCAGCTGCGGGAGGGATCAGGGCCGCCCCAGGAGTGAACAATGGGACAGGATGGAGGGGGCCGGCAGGAGGGAGCCGCGAGCCACCCTCCCTCCAGGGAGCCTGGGCTGGGAGTGGCCAGAAGCCCTCGCCGGAGATCCGGGCGCAGAGGCGAGGCCGAGGCCCCCCATGAAGGGCCAGGCCGGGCACAGCAGTGAGGCTGCATGGCTGAAGCGACCCATACATGGAGCTGGGGGCACTGAGATGAGACCCAGCGTGGCAGGGCACGGGCAGGGAGAAATGCAGAGACCGGTGTGAACGCAGGCTGTGGTGGGTCAGGACAATGGGGCAGGCCCATCCGTGCACTGGCGAAGGGCAGGGGGCTCGGGGCCTCTCAGCTCAGGGCATGGCAGGCTCCCGGTGAGCTCGGCGCCGGCCCTGACTCTGCCCGTGGCTGGCACGAGGGACGCGGCACCTGACGTATTGCATCTGGCAGCTCCCACGGTGACCAGCCACGTGCAAAACGGGCCAAGGGTGGTGTGTGCATTGTGCATTAGAGTGTGACCCGCTGGGGGGCACATGTGCACCTTAGCATGTACACACCTGCACGGGTGCAGAAGCCTTCCTCACATGAAGGGGCTCCAGGACCTGGTGCCTGTGGATGCCCGGAGGAGTCAGAGCAACCTCCCTTTGGCCCAGGGGCAGGTCTGCATCCATGTGCCTGCACATACGTGCACACGTGCACAGACACAACCCTGCGCACAGTTGTGTGCCTCTAAAAGCAACACCTCTGCACAGCACCTCCTTGAGCGCCAGCCCCACGATGCCTGTGGGTTGTGGGGGAAAAGGCTAGGCCGGGAAGGAGCCATAGCGGCTCAGAGCAAGCTGGAAACCCCTGTGGGAACGCGGGCAGCGGCCTGGGGAGCAGCACAGCCCCGAAGCACTGCAACAGGGCCCATCCTGCCTGGCACAGAGCACCCCAGCGCCCATCTCCCCACGCTCAGTTACCCCCTGCCTGCCATGCATTGGCAGCCGGGCAGAGGTGCGGAGCCGGCCCCTGCCCCTGGCATTGCTGCCCCTTTAAGTGCCTTGGCTCAGGTGCAGCTCCCAGGCTCCTTCACCTCCTGGCTGGCGAGAGCATCCGCATGTGAATGCCTGGACCCCGTGCCAGGCACTGGGCAGGGCGCCAGGCCCTGGCCACAGCCCCGTGCCAGGTGGGCACCACCGCTGAGCCCGGCTGCCAGTGCGCCCGGCCGCACCAGGGGAGCTGCTGGATCCATGCCCATCCTCAGGACGGCTCGTTAGTCCCCCAAGAGTCAGAGTCCCAAAGCTGCGGGGCGGGCAGGGAGCTGCAGGGTCACATCCAGTTCGAGGCAGGATCAGCCCTGTCCAAACCAGCCCAGACAAACCCCATGTGCAACCCTGGAGCTGCACAACACAGTCACCCCTGACACAGCCCTGGGCATCGCCCCCGGCCCTGCCCCCGGGATGCAGGGGGGCTGCACCCATGTCCTGCTGCTGCCGGAGGGAGAGGAGGTCATGGGCGCTCCAGAGATCCCAGGCCAGGCCGTGCCCCCGCTGCAGAGGAATGCAAAACCCCCCAGTGCGCACCAGTCTGAGCAGGGGGGAAATCCCTTCCTGCCCCAGTGCAGTGTGGGGCTGAGCCTGAGCTCGGGGGCAAGACCCTCCAGCCAGGACCCCGCGGGGTCGGTGCCGGCAGGAGCACTGGCCCAGCCCAGCCCCATCCCCAGCCTGGGCAGCAGCAGCAGCAGCAGCACCAGCACCAGCACCAGGGTGAAGCAGCATCCCCCCCATGCAGCACCGGGCAGGAGCCAGGGTCCTTCATGCACACCCCAGCACCTGCGAAGGCAGGACCCTCCCAGGTCGGGAGCCTGGGCCCCAGATCCAGAGCCTGGGTTTGGTGTGGATGCCGAGCGGGATCACCCCAGACAGCGGCAGCCCCAAAGCCCCGTGCAGGGAAAACCAGGTGCCCGGTGCAAGCATGGGCATGGCCTGGCACGGCAGGACTGAGGATGGATGGATGGTGGCTACACTGAGGGCTGCTATGCCCCCGCGGCCTTGGCAGCCCTGGGGCCCCACTGCGGACGGACAAAGCCCCCCAAGGGGTGCGTGGCCCAACTGGGGGGCACATGCCTCGTCACCCTGGCAACAGCCTCTGGCTGCCTGCAAATCTGCAGCACTGCCGGCTCCCTGCTCTGTGCGCTGACAGCCCCAGTCTCGCCGGCTCCGGTGAGAGGCTCGAGGCTGAGTAGGTGACGCACGGCCCATGGGGAGGTGGGGGCGGCACGGCCACGCGTGTGCATGCACCTCTGCACGTGTGGGACGAGCACACAACTGTGTGCAGGGGTGGGGTGCGTGTGCAGCAGGGTAGTGCATGCATGTGGGGATGTGTGCACGGGTGACAGCATGCACACGTGTTTGCCAGGGTACAGCGTGACAAAGGGGGCGTGCACACATGCAGGAGGGTGGGAATCCCTGCAGCGTATGCAGGCGTGTGCATGGGGTGGGCGTGGGCAGCCCAGAAGGCAAGGAGACCCCGGAGCTGGCTGGGGGTGGGCCAGGCCACGCTGCCCCTCGCTGGGGACCTGGGCTCCTCTGCCCAGGTCTTGCTGGGGGGGAGAGGGAGGGGCTCGCTCTGTCCCCTGCTTTTAATTACAGCTCTCTGTGCTAATGAACTGGTAGCTCCTCCAGGGAGGCGCTCCCCTTAATTAAGCCTTTAATTTGGTGATGTTACAGATTCGCCCAGCGAGGCTGGCTGCAGTCCAAGCCCCAGCCATGCACCGTCCTTGCCCTGCCACGTGCACCAGGGAGCTGCCAGGCACATGGGGCCCTCAGTTCAAGATCAGCCCCAACATGCCCCTGGCTGCATGGGCTGGGCCCACCCGGGAACAGGAAGGACCAAACCAGACCCCCTCCCTGTGCCCGTCCTGAAGCCACGATGCCCCGGGGATGCTTGGGGGCATCTCTGCCTCCCCCATCCTCACCACCCCGTGGGCACACGGGGAGAACTTGGCCTTGCCACCAGGACGGGCAGCACTGGGGTCTGTGCAAGGCCTGGCAAGAGGATTGGGGCCTCTGCCAGCGTGAGCAGGCCTGGCCCGTGCCGGGGGGCAGGCAGCACCCGTACCTCCCACCCCTGCCAGTGCTAACGAGCTAAGTAGGGGATTACAAGCTGCGTGATTACACATGCAGTTGAGCAGCAGCCGGTGCCAGCCCTGATGATGGCTGGGCTGGGATCCATCAGCCCCTCCCACATGCCACGACCTCCCAAGGGAGACACCAGCCCCACTCCGAGCAGCCAGACGTTCGCCACGACCAGGACGCCAGCAGCAGGGGTGGCCAGGGCCGATGCCCCCTGCTCCCAGCAGCACCGCCTGCCCGACGCCTGCATCCACCCATGGCATGTGAGACACGCAGGACACGCGAGCCCACGCAAGCTGCGCAGGACCCTGCGGTACATGCAAGCCTGGACCTTGGTTGCCGCGGCCCCCCTGTATCCCTGGGGCAGGGGCAATGCCTGGGGCTGTGTTGGGGCGATGGCGTAGTGTGGCTCTGAGGTCGCACATAGGGCTGATCCTGCCTCAGGCGGGGGTGGACTCTGCACCTCCCTGCCCGCCCCGTGGCTCAGGGACCCCACAAGACTGACAACACAGTGCTGGGCACGGCCTGGCCCCTTCTCCCTGCCCTGCGACCGGCTCTTTGGGCGTGATCAAGTGCTGGACCCAGGGGCAGGGGGTGCCAGGCCTGGGCGGGATGCCAGGGACCTTGGCCGGGGTCTCCCGGACTCCATGCTCCCCTGCAGAGCGGAGCAGGGGGCAGCCGTGGCGCTCAGGGCAGGTGCGGGGGCAAAAAGGGACCTACCTCTCCGGGGCAGCCAGGCAGGGAGCGGTCCTCAAGCGCTGGAGCCGTGCGGCGCAAGGTCCCGGAGCCGCAGGGCAATGCCCCCAGGGCGGGGGGAGCCCAGGGCTGGGTGCTGGCTGCCGGCTGTCTGCCCAGAGCCCGCGCGGGGCAGGAAGCCGGGGGCGGAGAAGAAAGGAGCCACTGAGCTCGGCCCTGGCAGCCAGACGTGGGCCGCAGG